AGCGAAAACCTCTCAGAAAAAAAAAAAGTATATACAAAAAACAAATAATAAATAATGAGAAAAAAAAAAAAACATAGCCTACTTTAAGATAGCTCCAGCCCAGTGGGTGCCCTCTCCCTTCTCTTAACATCTATTGTATTCACTAATTTCCAATAGGAAAAAATAATCCCTTTATCACATGAGGCTGAACCATATGAAATCACTGCTTTTACAACTCAAAGATGGTCAAATATTGGCAATTTCATAAGGTTCAACTTAATACACTGTTCATAATTTTGCAATCAAGTAAAAATTTAGTAATTGTGTGAGAAATTTTTATTATCATTCATATTTTGGTCAATATATAATGCTCTCATATATTGGATTGTCAGAAAAGTTATGATGTGTTTTTCCATGCAAAAATGCATCATGGCTTTTCTGACGACCTAATCGGTGCCCTATCTTTATAAGACAGCTTTAGTTAGACATGTTCTTTTCAGGCAAGAATCCCAAGATTTTTAATGGAGAAATCAGTTTGTTCTTAAGATGAAGGGAGGATGAAGCAACAGAAAGCTTACCCCAGAGTGTAAACAACAGAAACCAATGACATGCTTCCTCAGATCAAGGAAATGATGTTTGAGGCAATCCGTTCTAGATCTCTAAGAAGATGGAAGCTCCATTGTCCAAGAAGCGTGTTCCATGTGTTTCTCGAGGGTAGTCAGCACCATGAATCAGGAACCAAAACTATGTTTATTTATATGGCAGTGGTACGCATTCATTAAATGTTCATTAAACTAAGGAACAATCATCCCAATTAGACTGTCAGTATTTCACTAGATGTCACATAAGATTATCTGAATTTTACACAGTGCTTGAAGCATGTGTTAGAAACTTTAAAGGCATTATCAGTCTGTCATCTTCAAGGGTAAAAAATACTCTGCCTAGATATGTATATTAAACTTTGTCCCAAGGAAGATAAGACCATAAACTAATAAGCTGCACATAACAGAATGGTGCCACTCATTTTGATTGGTAAACTTATTGAACAATAGCAAGATTCAAGCCCCGGGCTGTCCATTTACTCTGCCATTTAAAGTTAAGGCTAATGTTTAGTGTAGGAAGCTTTATTCCATAATCCAATTAGTGATTTCCAAGAAGTATGTGTGTTCTCTACAGAGCATACGAGTATTATGTGCATTTCCCTGTTTATGTCTTGGTCACGTGTGTGTATTAAACCTACCAACTTAAATACAGAGCCCGAGTTTTCCATTTGCTTAGCATTTCCCTCCAGTACATTTCCTTCTGATGACTAATGTCTTAGTAATTTGATAAAAATTAGACTAAGTTTAATTTTAATGATGTGAATTAAAAGATTGGATTTTATAACAAATTAATTTTAAAATATTCTTTTAAATCATTCTAAATTTTCCACTACATTATAAGAGAGAATAGTAGCAGCTCAGGAATCTCTGAGCATTAAAGCCTTCACTACTAGTATATATAAAAATAGGCCTTTATTTTATATTTAAGACAATGAACCATCCATATTACTATATAACTACCACTGTCACACAGGAGCATTGTGATTTAGTAAATATTAGAAACCGACTCAGTTAGGAAAAACATTTTGAAGAAGACAAAGAAAACTCTGAGATTAAATAATTTATTACCATTGCTAAGATGAACACATATACTTAATACTCAATTTTATGCAGAACTTTAAAAAAATAGTTTTAATACAGTATCAAAATTTACACAAGTATTTTGTCAAAAGACCAGTGTCCCTTGTACTAGCTCTGCAGGCTCTGCTGCAGCAACAAAAACTTGTTTTAAGTGTCTTCAGAATGTAGGAATACAACAATTTAAGGATGAAAGCTTTTCTATGAGAGATGTAAATATAGCAAGCAATTTGCTTTTGCAGAGCAATAATATTTTACAACGTAACATTTTAAAAGAAAGAGAGGCATCTAGTGTAACCTAATTACAATAATCAGAGAAAGAATTCTACAACAAATTAATTCAAAAGTATTTTCTGAAAATAGAGGGCTGGTTTATCAACACAGCTACATTTTTTAAAGGATAACAAAATTCCTTCATATACCCCACCAATGACAATTAAATGCACTGTATAATGAGCCTATTTAAAAACATCAACCGAGAATATCTGCTATGAGTCAAGTCTCAGTAATTTAGGAGATATCTCAAAACTAAGAATTGTTGTATTCCTACTTTTATAATTGTAAACTACAGTAAAAACGTAGCATTCTGTCACAGGCCTCTTGCACATTCATACAAGAAACTATCATTGCATTTTGATAAACACAAAATACCTATCATAGCATTTCCAATACACACATTCTAATATTATATATGTGTATGTATGTGTGTATATATATTTATATATATATACCAAAAATAAGAAAGAAACTAAGCAAAGCTAGCACACCTCTTTTTCAAACCTCAAGCAATCTGAACAAGAGCTTTTAGTCTCAATAATGAAGGACATGCGTCAGTTTCATAAAATGTTAGATAGCTGCAGTAGGCAAAAAGAGTTTTCATAAATGCAGTGCAATATTTTAAAGTTTACATAAAGTTTATTAAATATACAGCATGTCTAGAAACTAAATTGTAGAAATTGACCTGTTACAGCTTGAAACACTTAGAAAAATGTTTGTTTTTCAGTTGAAATTGTTAATATTAACATCAATGGATACACTGAATGAATAGGGAGGCTGGTATGCCCTTAAAATGTGTTTTCATGAGCAACTCTTCTAGATTAAAAGAAAAGGCATACTTATTTTGATCAATGAATTGAATGGCACCCTCTAATAAGAACGCTACAAAGTCCTGCTATCTTCTAGCTGATAAGAATTTGTGTGGTATTTTTAGCACCTTGAAAGTCAAAACAAAGCCCCAGAAACCCAATCTTAGTTATATCCAAATTAAGTTTGTATCAGGAATTAATATTTTGTGACTGAAGTATAAGAGGGCAGGTACCCAACTCTCAAACTTGGGAAGTTGAAAAACACCTTTTTATATGTTCAATACATGGTAGAAAATTCCCACCATTAAATGCAATGAGTCAAGTCTATCAAAACCACTTAGGCTCCACTGGACTCTTCCAACCACACAGGTTTCTCAATTACAATCTAAATCTAGGGAATTAAAAATATTTTAGTTCTAGTGAAAATATTGCTACCAAAAACAGTGATTTTCAAAGCTATCTTGTTTAAGATCTTCAAAGCTATCTACTTGAGATTAACTGTTGTGGACATTAGCGAGAGACACAGAATATCAGCTTGATGCAGGGGAAGTTGTACTAAAGGTTTGAGAGGGGAGATATGTGCAATGTACAACCACTCCATGTTATCCCATGAGTCCAATTTGTGGTTACCCACTCTCTTCTTTTTGTTCTTCTTTTCTTTTTTCCCTCGCTGGCAGTGGTGATCTCATGTTTGATGAAGAGGGCTTTTCACATTGGTCCTTTGTACTGGTTTCCTGACAAATGTTGCCTAATTCCAGGACACGAACCTGCAGCATCTCCAAGTTTCCTCCACACAACCTTGAAAAATTTTTAAAAGAGAGAGAGAGAGAGAGAGAGAAAGAGAGAGAGAGAAAGAGTAAGTATCTTACTTGTCCTCTTCCACAGAGAGATTTGTGGTTTTTAAGGGGCAACTATGAGTGGGGCAAAGATGGATGCAAAGACAAGAGACAAAATATCCACATGAGTGACTCAAACACAAAATCAAATGTGATGACAAGCTTGTAAAACACAGATGGGATTACTATACTGTGTTAGCAACCAGGGTCAAAACTAAAGAATGATGTGCCAACTTATTCTGGATGAATCAGTGGTTCTCACCTCCAGCTTCACCCTAAGCATTTCATACTAACTATACTAGTAACTTCCATCCTCAAATATTTTATTTCAAATTGGTTAAGTATAGGCTTCTGTACTTTTTAAGAGCTCTCAAAGTGATTTTTATTTGTAGCTAGAATTAAGAACCTTTTGGCAAAATCATCTTAACACCTCTATTATGTATCTTTAAAAAGGATATAAAAGTGTTTAATGCACTGAGAAAAATAAAGGAACTGTTTCTTTCTTTTAGTATTTTGCCATTGGTCACATGTGCTTGCTAGAGAAAGATAGAAGGAAAGTATGAAATCACTCCCCAAGGAAGATGGCCATGCCGCAATCCCTTCTCCTCTATTCTCCTCTCCAATTTTGAGCATGCAAGCACATGCACCCGGCATGATTTTCAAGTCACCAGGTCCAGAACTCGAACCGAAGTCAGCCATGCGAGAGTCCAGCACCTTAACCACTATGCCACCTGCTGTCCTCCAGAAACTTTTGTTTTTGAATGAAGTTGTAAGCTGGTAGTCTTAGGGCCACTAGTAAATGCCCCTGGCTTTCTCTTCAAAGTAAGAGCCTAAGTCATCATAAATCTTACCACCAAATATTTATGATCTCTCAGATTTACAAAACAAGAAGCATCCAAATGTAGGGAATATGTAAGAATAAATTCTAGAATCATGTAAGAGCTACAACATGCTAAAAATTATGGTATTTTAAAGGGAAATTTAATTAAGGTAAAATCAAGAATAATATAAAACTACTGAATTCACCAATAATATACCAATATACTGACATTAATTGGAATATACATGCACATGCATGTGCATGCACCCATAACAACAAGCCATGATTGTCCTAGCATTTTCAATGTAAGAATTATGCTCAGCTTAATTAATTACACATTTACAGTGCTCTAATATGAACACAAACAAGTTCATTAATTATCAATAGACTTGTTTCCTTTTTCTTTCTACTTCATTAAAAAAAAAGGCAGATACTCCAAAGAAACCTAAAACAAATCATAATACGTAAGATTACAGGGCTCTGCCTACCTTTGTTTCTAAGACACTGGAACTATTAACTTCCACATTTTAGTAGACACCACTAAATACGAGAAATGTCCTGTTGTACAGGAAAGGAATCATAGTTATTTATAGTCCTTAAATATTTGGACAGGAAATCCAAATGCTGTACAGTTAGATGGTTTAAACCATACAAAAGGAACATAGAAAAATCTCATTCCTTAATAAATTGAAGAAGTATAAACACTGGATCAAGAAGTCAAAGGATGCTATGGACTTTGCCCTTCTAGCCCCTAAGTACAATTACATTGACCCGACATGTGTTCAACATCTGCTTTAGGAACAGAGGACAGACTTATGGTTACGTCTCCTTTCAAACATTCAAAGGTACTATGCAATGGGCTTTAACCCAGGTAATACTACACAGTGGAAGAAAACGCATACAGAAGGAAAACTTGGACATAAATCAATGATACTAAGGAAGGCACAGGAGCAGGGATTTGTTAACTACCTGAGCAAATTGGTGTGTGTTTGAGATTGTGACTGAGATGACCAGTCAAGTATTTCAACTGAATCAGAGAATTTACAGGAGCCAAACAGACAAACCTAAAATAAAACCATTACTAAAAACAGATCCCCTATAAGAGTTCTTCAAACAGAATATGCAGAATGGCTATTCTGAAAAAAACTATACATGGATCTCAAAAAAAATTCACACAAAAATAAACTCATATTAATTCCATTTTTCACACCCTATTTGAAGTCCCCTCATATTTCCTATAGGGCAGTATATTTATTTCTGTAACACAGTTTGGGAAGAATAACTAACTTCATGCTTACTAGTCAACATGACGGAACTATGGAATATAGTCATTTCACTATATACATGTCAAGACATTGTCTCCAGGATGAACACCACAAACTCCACCAAAATTTGTCTATTCCGAATTCTACTCGAGTTTTGTAAAAGAGCCCATAATTATGAAAAAAACAAAACCCACAAATTTACATTTCTGTGTCATTAGTATAAAAGCAGATGGTTCCTCTAATAAAACCAAAGTTTAACAATCTTCACTTCTAAGAAATTACCTATATATGAAACTGCCTTGGAATCTGCATTTTTCTTTATTCTCCAGTATTTAGTATGTGTTTTTTACATTTATATAATTTAAATGGTGACATACAAATTATTAAGCCAACATTTCTTTTTCTTGGTTTTTAACTTGTTTCCAAATATAAGGGGTCTTCAAAAAGTTCAGCCATGATGCATATTATAAAAAAAAATTATGTGTGGATTTGAATTTTCTTAAACCAAAATAAACTTCAATTCCACTTTTTCATGAACTTTTTCAAATCCCCTTGCATAAGAGTGGTTAAAATCAGATTTGGGTTGGTTTTGCATATTTTCCTCAAATTCTGGGATTCGAAGAAAGACAAAAACACACAGAAATGTTACCCTAAAGAATGTCTAAAGATAAACAGGAAGAACAAGCTGTTAGCCTTCTGAAAGTATCTTATACAGTGAAAAAAAAACACGGCATGTACCTTTCAAAGCATTTTTCAAAATACAGGCAAACATAAATATCAACATAAAACAAATTAAAGGTTTCTTTTGATACTAAGAAATTAATTTTCTAAAGTCGAGAATTCTTTCATAAGAAAGAAAAATGAAGAAAATAAAGGAGAAGGAATTGAGGAAAAGGGAAAGAATTGAAAAGAGAAGAGAAGAGAAGAGAAGCGAAGCGAAGCGAAACGGGGAAAGCAGATGGCATAATATTAAATTACATCACTTCACTCCCACATGGCTGACAGCAGTTCAAGTCAGACCCCAAGGCTTGAAATTTATGCTGGATGTGTGTGCATGCGTGTACTAAATCCTGAGAGAGAGGAGAAGGGATTGTGGTATGGCCATCCTCCCTGGGGGGTGATTTTGTTTTCTGTCTCTCTGTCAAACAGATGCACTTCATAGCAAAAATCTCTCTTAAAAAAAATCATGCCAGGCACATGTGTGTGCATGCCCAAGATCCTGGAGGAGAATGGAGGAGAAGGGATTGCAGTGTGGCCATCCCTCCTGGGGTGATTTCTCACTTCCCTCTCACTTTCCCTGATACTCTCTTTCTCTAGTGACAGCACATACCCTAAGGCCAAAAAAGCTTCAAAAATAAAAGAAAAGGAGAAGGGGAAGGAAGGAATAAAGGAAGAAAAAAAAAAGGAGGAAGGGAGGAAACAAAAATTCCTGGTACTTCTTTACAGAAATTCTACCATTAAGCACAATGCAGACATTCCTCTCTATAAGATACTGTGCTTCTCATTTATTAGGAATAAAAATGGAAGACTCCAGATTTAGGAAAAATGGAAATAGCTGGTCCTCAAAGTCTGGGCATATTACTAACTTCACTGTTCAACAAAAAAGATTTTGAACAAGTAACTTAATTTTTGGATCTTAGTTCCTTTCAACATAAAATGTGAGTGTAAGGATTCTCACAAAGGGGTTCGTATCCTAATCAAACTTAAACTCTTAAATTAAAAAGGAATTCCATGGGACTGTCAGGTGGCATGGTGGTTAAGGAATTGGATTCCCACATGACTGACCAGGGTTCCAGTCTCAGACCTGTGAGCTTGCTTTCTCCCTTTCCCTATCTCTTTCTCACGCTCGCACTCGCTCTCTTTCTCTCTCTCTCTCTCTCGTTAAATTTTAAAAATAGTAATAACAAGTAGAATTAAACAAATAGTTCCTAAAGGAAAAAAAAAAAAAAAGGAATTCTACATACTACCCTTTGGAGAAGTACAGGGGAATGACATCTCTGGCCCCTTCTAGTTCTACAGTTCCTGTGTGAATTGTACTTCTCTTATCCCATGGTCAATAAATGAGAAACAACAAGCACATGAGTTGAATGTGGCTCAAAACTTAAATGTGCCTATGTGAAATGCTCAAGTGGTAAACCTTAAGCACAGGTTGAAAAGCTGTGAAGGTGAACAATGGTACATTTAGAAAATAATGAGGTCTAGAAAGAGTGATCTTTTGAAAACAACAAATATGCAAGAAGGAAAAACTAACTTGGAGAGTGTCACAAAAGAAAAAGCAGCCACAACACAGTCAAGCAGGATTATAAAACGCTCAACCCAGAATGTGTGAAATGACCACAGGACTTATTAATGTAACATTTACTAGATGCCAGAAACATCTTGAGATAAGTAAGTGACTGAGATGATCTAGTCCTAACAGATCTAAAGCTGAAGGCTATTTCTGAGCAATTTTGATATCCCAAAGGAGAAAAGAATATGAGGAAAGAGTATTAACATAAGTCCATTAAAACCAGTGCTTACTGTGATCAGTGCTTAACCATAATTTTCTTGAATTTAACGAATGGCTATTTTTACAATACTCCATTTAGCTCTTTAGTTTCATGAATTGTGTTCTTGACTAAATTACACATCTCATGTATATACTGTTCAAAAAATTAAAATTTAGTCAAGATTTACCATAAAATCCAAACCACATTAATGATTATATTTGATATGTATAATAAAAATAACATATCTTTTTTTAAGATCATGTTCCTCTCAGATTTAATGAATAGGTTTCTGCAAGTCTGTCTCTCTCTCCGGTTTACATCTATCTCATCTTACTATTTTTTCAGTTTTTGCCAACCACTGAAAGATAAAGAAACACTGAATGACATGAAGCACACATATCCTATGTATGTAAGATTAAGCAAATAATACCTAATAAGGTAGTAATTTTTTCCAAGTTATAAAATATCTGAAAAAGACTATGTTTTGCTTAAACATTGATCTTTAAAAGATTTTTTTAAAGTATGAAATATTGGGTTGTTGGGAAAGTCATGCCAAATTTTTGCATAGAAAAACAGAGAAATATGTCATGACTTTCCTGACAACCTAATAAAAACCCACTTATATTATCAAAATTAGTAAAAAAAAAAAAAATTTAGGCAAATTTAGCATTTAGAAATGTTCATAGATCATTCTGGAATACAGAATTGTTGACCATCTCTGACCTAAGATTTTATAACATAATTAATTTAAAAAGCTGCAACAAATCATATTGAAGATAAAAATATATGAAATTTGTTTTATTTTCATGTAAAAATATAAAGGCATTTGGTCAGAATTTTTTAAAAAGTAGGTATTCATGAGCAATAACTAAGCTATGATGAAGCTTTCAACACAGAATACACAATAAAGCACATTAAACTTACATTGCACATTTCTCTGACTATAGCTTTTTCTGTCTCACTAAGGTCATGGTCATACTCTTTACCCTGTTGACGATCTATAGTTTCCTGAACATCCAAGACCTGGATTTGTTGGGGGGGGGAAAAAAAGCAAATTTCACATGGAAAAAAACTTGTTAGTTATGACAAAATCATCAAGGAGCTCTGCTTTGTAAAACCTTTACTTTTTCCCATGTCTAAATATCAGAATGGATTAGTATATGGCAAAATATTTTTAAAATAGTTAACTGTTCTGAAACATATCTGGAAAGAATTCTACTTGAGTCTCAAAAGGCCATTAAAAGCAATTCATTGTATAGCTAATTGTCAAGTTAATTCACTTATGTTAAAATAATTAAATGCATATAATTTGGTCATTAAGATAACCTGACAGTGTCAATCATGTACAAACAGTAACTTTTGCTACATTATAACAATAAGCAATATGATTAATTATATGCCAAATAGTCCAGAAGATATGTAGACATGGTCTACAGGAAAGATCACTAAAAGAGATCATTGTGATAGGTGAAATGGGCCAGAACTCAGGAATATGCATAGAAGAATTACTGGCCTTGTAGTTCTTTTCTGAACATGTTCTTAGTGCCTAAGAAAGAAATGAGGATGTAGCAAAGAGAAATATTGGCTCCTTATAGAAAAAAATACTTGAACAGCACTGAACATTTTTTATTAGAGCAAAATGTGGCGCTAAAACAGTTTTAGCGGCCTATGTTTCTATTTCTCTAAATTATCCCTACGTAAATTGAAAATAATGTCTAGAATTTTCATATGGATACTTTCTATAATAAAATAGCAAGTACAACTTTGGCTTTGAGTGCTGTTTGTTATTTTTCTCTATATCGGCTCATAAACCAAAGCATTAATGTTGCACAAAAAAAGAAAAAAAAAAAAACTACTTCTTTTCCTAAACGCTTGTATAAAACCCACACTGAACTGTGCTACTGCTAAACCATCTGGTTCTATTGTCATCATAGTCAGTGCTGATGGCCACATCTAAAGGTGTCACTTGAAAATTTGTACCAATGAACAGTTGAGCCAAAATAAATGACTTAAAGCATGAAGTGGGATCTTCATGTCAAGTTGAAAGGTCCCCATCTGAGACTAACTAGAATTCAATCATATAATGATCAACCTAATTCACAAACTACTCTCTTGTTAATTCAAGACTCCTCGCTATTACTGCTATATGGAAACCACTTTTCTCAAGTCCTGGTACTCACCTCAGATTAGAATCACTTCACATTCTTTACCTACCTAGAGGAAATCATTGACTGTGCTCAGTGAATATTCATAGAAAAGAGCTCCTCAAACAAGCTCATTTGCCTACAAATTTAATTTGCAATATACCTCAGAGAAGTGTACTTCAAATCAGTTAATTTCTACTAAATAAAGTGAAGCTCCAATTAACAGTTATCATAAATTTTAAAGCAAGAAAAATTGGGGTTATTACAAATGAACTAATTCTTCACACTGATTTACAATACTCCTCCACAACCATGACTAGAGAGTTTATTAAAACCTAGAATTTTCTTCAAAATCCACTAGAAAGTGAAAAACTGAGCCCATTGTTCTAACTATTCCTTACAGAACAGAAAAATCTCATGATATAAGTCAGTTCTAGAAATATGGCTCTTAAAAACCAACTGTGTCAAGTGGCCACATTGTTTTGATCACTGAAATCTTAAGCTGCATTTCTCAAGGTCTATGTGTGCACATGTTTAATTCATGACACAGTTAACTCATGAAAACAAACACAGTCTATATCCAAAGGCCCATAATTACCCAATAAAGGTATTTTGGTTGCTCAGTATTACCCATCTGCCAACCAAGAACACTTACTATATTCTGATAATAACATTAATATCTCCTTCTCTTAAGATAAAACTTAATGCAAAAATTAAATAACGAATTCTTAGAAAATTAAAGCACTCTGCCTTGCCCAATTCTTCCTTTAAGGCCACACAACTAACAGCTGCTATGAGACAGTGGGAAAAGATTTCAGTGTAACTCACTACTCTGATATGATTCAAACTGCACTTGTCATTTAATAAGGAAACAGACCAAAACAGCTTTCAAACAGTTTGAAAAAATAGAGCAAGGTGCTGCTTTTGGAGTATGTGCATATACTGTAATATTGGAAGATTAAAGCCAATCCATTTTCCACTTCTAAAATGCTTTCAGAGAGCTAGTGCTTGATTTATGTAAAAGTTCATCCAAATGCTGCAGAGAACAAGAGGTCTACCAGTCAGTAAACCAATACCCAAAGGATACGGAGTGGTGACACTCCTCATAGTGTCCCAGAAATTCCTCTCTGTTGCTCATTTTGTGAGTTATCCCAGTGAAGATGGGAAATGCCAAGTGCATTGCATGGGCCACCACACTGGGTCTCCTCCTTTTCTTCATCAACCATCGGTACTTGTCTGAGAGAAGCAAACTCATTTTGTATAAGCTAAAGCAAAATGCACTGAAGAAGCTAATATTCTGCTAAAACTAAATCATCACAAAATCAAATACACATTTTGAAGTTCTCATCTACTTATTTATTTTATGTATGCCATATGAAGTGTGGCCCGCTTCCAAAGAATGCAGCTTCAATCTGATAAACCATCCTGAAACTGAAACAATTTAAGAAAAGGTGTGAAACTCATATGACAAAAACAGAACTGAAGTACTATATCTACTTCATAGCTCAGGAAGGCTTGATCAAGGTTATGTGTTAAAAATTATAGATAACTTTGAAAGACAGTGTTTCATATTTTGGAATTGATACAAATTCAAGAGACAGTCTCAATTTTTAAGATGATTTTTACTGATGATTTTTATTGCTGCATCAGTTTCTTCTCTTTGATAAATATTTATGCTGTTTATTACTGCTCATTTTGGTTATGGTGCTTATTTATTATTAATATTACTTATTAGGAAGTTCATTATTGGTAAAGAAAATAAATTATAAATGTCAGTCAAATTTCTGTGAAGTCATTGTAGAATCCGAAATAAAAGCCAAAAATGAAATTGCTCCATGTATAAGACCACATATCTATTTTCCAATATTCTACAAAGGGGTATTAACAGGAGTGTGAAGACCTGATTTCTGCATAGTAAAGAAGAGGGTTTTATTTCAAAATCTTCTCTTAGTAAGTTGTACAATATACTTCAATTGCATAAAGAAAAATAAAATGTAGTACCTTTCCTTATTCTGACCCACTATTAACTCCCTACAGTGGAGGACATCCATGCTACAAACAAAGCACATAAAATACCTATAACAATATTTTACACATATGGATATACATGCACATCAGACTTTAACTTCAATGCAGATAGAAATGAATCACATTACTCAAAACAAAATAATACAACTAGAGATTTAACCATAAGTGCTCAAACCCATTGCCAGCTTAAAAAATTAAAATCATACTTCAAAAATTAAAATGAAAAGAAAGTTACACCATAAGGAGTCAAAAAAAAAAAAAAAGAAAGAAAGAAAGTATCTGTGGTTAAAGCAAGACTGTGAGGACTACTAGACTACAGCAAACAAGCCACAACACAACTGAAGTTCTGGATAAACGGTTGTACACAGTCGGTTACCTTAAGAGAATGTACCACAGGTTCAGGCTGCTGAGAAGGTGTGTTATGTCCACTGAAGCTAGCTGGAGAGTTGGGTGAACTGTTACTCCCATCAGCCCCTGATGACAACCTAAAAGAACCCTTAGTAGAAAATCAACAACTTTGTTATTAAAACAAAAGTCGTTTATAACTACATAGATGTCATTCAAAATTCAATTTTACTGCCAAATGAGAATCAGTCATTTTTGAAACTTTTTTTTTTCTAGCTTATCGTAAGATATCAACCTATTAATTGGATCAGATGTGCTGCTTGACCAGCAAGAAACCTTAGTGAGGAGCCATCACTATACATTGTCCAGATGTCACCTCTGATTTACTACAGAGAGCAACGCCCCTCAAGGAATGGTCATTAAGTTCATTTCAAGAATGATTTTTGAAACTTAAATATACTCAGGTGTAGGAAATTCATAACTTACTCCACAGCTGAGTTAAAACATGCTCACTCAGCAAGCTAAATGCCATATTCCATATGTCTCAGAATATGGAGGCACTTCACATTCTTACATGGACAAAAAGGTCTCTTACAACACTCTTCTTTGAGGAAAAGAACTAGAGTAGAGCATTTTTCAGAGATTCAACCAAATTCAACACTTTCCTTAAGAAACAATTCTCTTACTTTCTGGCCTTTTTAAAAATGAAAAATAAGTAGATGTGAATTACATGTTTTTAGTTTATGGATTCTTCCACTTCATTGGTGAGAAATCAGAAGTTAGGCATGATTAATTTGACCCATGTAGGCCACAGTCATCTGTATAAGAACTGGGAACTTCCCCCAAGGGTCTATACTTTTTCTATAGGTGAACTGGGTAAAGGCTAATGTATCAGCAAAGAAAAAGAGACTCAAAGCAAGTTACTGACTCTTCTAGAAAAAGCAGTCAAATGGGAATTTTCCCAACTTACTTATTTATGTAGAGAGGGCCTGAGAGATTTTAATTTCTGTCCATCAACAAATCTACACATTTTTTCATGTCTAATAGATCAATAACTGCTTCATTTAAGCTGATTCTATCAATCTAATCCCGATAGGAGCCACTGCATGGACGCCATATATTAATTCATAAGAAGGAACAACAGTGGTTTGAAACATTAATCTGCAGCATTTCCGGGGGAACTTTAATGTTACACACTTTAGGGATGGGAGAGAAAAGCTTCACTATAACTGTTGCTGTGTAAACCATGGTTGTGTATAAACCATGTTACAGAGAAATAAATAATCCCATTGCTTTTTACAAAGACCATTGTTTATGCAGTTTGAAATATTTTCTACTGTCCCTGTTGTTGTCATTTCTTCCTATGTCCTTGAAGGATCCCCTTTGCATCTCACAAGCCTACAGAGGCCATGTGCTTTTCCCCTCATTGAGCTGTGCTATCCCATCAGGTCCTGTGCCCAACAGGAAGAGGAACCAGTGGAATCCTTTAGTTGACTTCAGCTTCTGTCCTCCATTGCCACTAATACTTAAATTAAGAGCAGGTGATGACACAGGACTGCCAATTAACAACCCCAACCCACTCTGGAAAAAAAAATTATGAAATTTGTTCTCCTGTATTTGTAACTCAGATCAAGTCAGACAAAATAATTCCTGATACAAACAATAAGAGGGAAATTATTTCAAGTTTAAAGATGGTTAAAGGATACACCATTCCCCCACCCCCCACCAACAAATTTTGGATATGATCTTCCTCTGTAGTGATCAAATGATTCCAAATCTAAGGACTTAAACAGGAAGCTCTTTTTCTGTGAATAACCTTTGTCCTCTATTTTCTTTCCCCTTAGGAACAACCATGGAAACTTCTGAGGTTACAAAGAGTTGACTTCCTACCTGTCGTGCAGGGTTTATGATTGCAGTGCCATTTTCCCTCTGACTGGCAATCTAATTTATCAGGCATTATCCCAGTCAGGGCTACTCTCCTGGACCTACCTTTCAAACCCTTTTCTACCAAGCCCTTCTGTTTCAAAGGTTCTCTTCCCAGATTTGGGGAAAGGAAAAGCATATGAACACTGGTCTGCTTTTGCATGAGCATGGGAGCTCTATCTGCCAGGACATTTTTGCTTAAGAGAATTTCTAAAATCAATGCAAATCATGTCTTATACAAATCATCTGGGCCATTTAGCACTGTTTACACATAAGGAGAACAAAATATAAGGAAATACCATTTTGCCCATATCTATTTAAGAAAAAAAAAAAAAGAGCACTCTTTAATCTCCTTAAAAAAAAAAAAAAAAGCTATAAGAGGCTCTTTCTAGAGTATGCTGTGGGGAACCACATATTATTCAGGGACTAAATTCTACTTTAAATTAGCTGAGAGCCCTGGACTAGAGAGTAATCAACCAAAAAAATTAAGGTTCATATTTTTATGTGCTTTTATGAAGCTGCAAAAGTAACCAAATGCCTAGTAAAGTTTAGTACCAACAGGTACTAGGCAGTTTTCTAGGTTATACCAACAGAATGAAGCACCTAGTTCTATTATATCTAATCTAGTACTATAAAATTAAAGGTTAGTTTTCTATGTACTTAGTAGAAAAAGACTAATCATTGAGATGTTTCTAGGTTCAACTAATATAGACTCTCAGTTAACTAATAAATTTTCACTGAACTATTTTTTTAAATACATATTCTATTGAATGAAATGTCAGTATGCAAATGATGTTAAACAGACCCTGAAGTAACACTGAGCCTTTCATTTAAATTGCACGTAGGTGGCTCAGGAGACAGAGAATTTAAAAACAGAAAAATCTTAATAAAATTGGAAATATGATTCCCAGCTTGAGTTGCTTATTTTCAAGTCACACATGATAACACAGTGCAGGCACTAGCTCTCTGCCATTATTCGATTAAAAAAGACAAGAAATCACTTTCTGAGTTAGCCTGGAGACATCTGGTCATGTTAACAATTCATTTTCATGACCGCTATCCTTTTAAATTTCTTTTTATGAAATGTCTAAGGTACTTTTGTTTTCTCTTGCTTGAAGTTGCTCAACTTTCACCCCTGGTTCAGGAAAAAACACTACAGAAGACTGTTGAGGAGGTGAAAAATTCTATTCCCATCCACCCTCCCCATATTTACAGCAGAAACCCAGCAACTTTCTTTCAAGTGCACGTATTTGTTCTCTACCCCCCCAATATAACTTTTCCTCAAGCCAACCAAAGCCATCTGGCTATGCACAAGCATATACAGCCAGTTGACTCAGCTTCACTCACCGGGAGAGTGGGCAGGCATCGTCCTATTCCTCGGCACCCTTGCCACCACTGCAAGACCCGCCGGGCTCTGGGCCCCCAGCCTTTCTCCATATTTGAGCTGTTTCTAGTTGGAGGTTGCCTTCTATTCTGGGTGCCCTTATATTTGGAACAATATAGTACAATCACTCAGAAAAATACTGTTTCCCAAGTCTCAAGAAAGCAGATAGAACAAGCAGCTTAATGAAATGAACCACAATGACTACAATGGCAAGCTATAACATGCATCTGTTCCTAGGGAAAAAATAAAAATAGAAACAATAGGAAGTCCTTCATATTAGGGCTAATCCTGATTTTTCTTAAGTTTTTGGCAAAGGTATAACCATATTCTCAAGCTATTCAAAAAGCAGATGATAAAGATTTATGGAAAAAACTGTAAGCTATTTAAATGACTTTATTTCATAGGTTTTACCTGGATAAATAATTAACATGAGCCTTCCAAGTGTTTAAACTGAACAACTTCAGAACTTAGTAGATTTAGTTCAAATAGTTGGGATAACCATTCCCTTTTGTTAAGAAACACAACTAGGACATAGATAACTCAATAATATTTACAAAAGCAGACACTGTATCAAATTATCATCAAAATTTTGCATGCCAAGGAGTATATAATAAGCTAAGAGGTCACCACTGCATTTAAAAACTATTTTACATAGTAAATCTATAAACTACCAAAATTCCTATTAATCTGTCAACTCTCAAATTTCTGAACTCGAACTAGAAATAACACATAACAGAAATAAAAACATAAAAATTTTTCCTAAACTTCAGCTTTTTCCATGACTAAATTATAATTGTATTAAAATGATCAGAAGCAAAATTAACTTATTTGAACATAATTTCCTCACCCTGCCCACCAAGACCTTTAAGAATGATATGTCTCATGGAATAGGAACATAATTTTTTCTGGTGTCAATCCTTTAATTTAAATTTAATCATTGTGTGTCTTGTATATATGCATACAGTATGGTTTTTTTCAAAGCATACATGCATTGCATGTCAAGCAAGTATACACCATCCTCAACAGATAACATCCCATTTTTGTGTCTGCTAATTTTTTTTTCCGGAGCTCCTCCCTCTCATCCCCCATCGTCTATCCCCTACTACCTACTATACAGTGTCTGGCATCTGTATTTTCTGTGTCTGTTACTATACCTTCCAGTTGTTCGGTTTCTGCCATAAAGTGCCGACATTTGGCATTTACATACAATGGACATACAAAGTCTGCCTTTCACAGTCTGGTTGCTTCAATTAGCATTATATCTACTATATTCATCCACTTTGTATCAGATGACAGGATCTCATTTTTTTTTATGGTTGAGTAGTATTCCAAGATACCATTTAATGATTAGATTGGTTATGATAAAAATAAAAATAAAAAAAGAATGACATGTGCTAGCGAGGCTGTGGTAAAAAGGGAATCCTCCTACACTGTTGGCAGGAATGTAAATTAATACAGCCACTGTGAAAAACAATATGGAGGTTCTTCAAGAACATACACATAGAACTACCATACGACCCAGTAATACCACTCCTGGGTATTTACCCAAAGGGTAGGAAACACTCGGTAGGAAAGATACTTGCACATTCATGTTTACTGCCATACTCACAACTGCTAAGACAGAGAATCAACCTAAATGCCCAAGAATGGATGGCTGGGATTAAAAAACAATGTGGCACAGGGCTAGCAGATGGTGTGGTGGTTAAGGCACTGGATTCTCATATGGCTGATCATGTTTAGAATTCTAGACCCAGTAGCTTGAAAATCACACCAGGCACATGTGCATGCCCAAAATCCTGAGAGAAGAGAGTGTGGCATGGCCATCCCCTGGGGGATGATTTCTTATTTTCCTTCTCTCTGTATCTCTTTTTGTTTCTTTTTTTTTTTTTTTTTTGGAGAGGTTTTTGCTACAGGGCGTGTGTGATTGCCAGACAGACAGAGAGAGACAGAGAGACAGAAAGCAAGAAATCACCCCCCATGGGGGATGGTCACGCCATAATCCCTTCTCCTTCATTCTCCTCGCGGGATCTTGGGCATGCACACACACATGCCGGGTGTGAGTTTTAAGCCACTGGGTCCGGGATGTGAACCGTGGTCGACTATGTGGGAGTCCAGCGACATAGCCATTACGCTAACTGCTGGTTCCCCTGTATCTCTTTGTTTCTCTTCTCTCCAGTGAGTACATGCTTCTTATGACAAAAACCTAGAAAAATAGCATGTATACACTATGTAATAATTTTTATAATGAATTTTTAATTTAATTTAATTATTATTCTTAATTTGCTATAGGATATGTGCACTCTCCAGAGAGAGAGAGAGAGGGAGAAAGAGAGAGAGGGAGAGGGAGAGAGAGGGGGAGGGGGGAGAGAGAGAGAGAGAGAAAGTGAGAATAAATTTTTAAGAGATTTTTTGCCTTAGGGAGTGTGTGCTCACCAAAGGGACAGAGACAGTGAGAGAGAAAGTGAGAAATCATCCCCCGGGGGGGATGGTCACTCCACAGTCTCTTCTCTTCCATCCTCCTCCCTGGATCTTGGTCATTCGTGTGCAGGTGCTTAGTGTGATTTTAAAGCCACTGAGTCTGGGACTCAAACTGTGGCTGGCCATCTGGGAGTCCAACAACGTAACTGTTAGATCATCTCCTGGTCCCAAGAATAACTTTTAAACATTGTGTAAACCCCATAAAATGTTCCCTATATTCCAGTGTCTAAATGTACTATCGTGTTAGTTTATATGCAAGGGGACTTCAAAATCTTTGTGGAAAAATGGACTTAAAGTTTGAAATAGCTATGTAATTTTTTTTGTAATGATTTTCATTTTCTATGAAACTTTAAGACTCCCCTTAAACAGATATGCAATGTAACCCACAAGTTATTTTAGATACTGGGATGAACCACCATTGTGCTAATAGTAAAGTCATACTCTGCATCAAGATTGTGTGGGAAGTAAATTACAGATTACTTACCATGTGGTAAGTATTAATTATAGAAATCATGAATTCTAATGATGTAAACAAACACCCTCGCTCAGAAAATAAAGCCATCCCTCATATCATGGAAGATCAAATATATTAGTACTTCAATGCCTCTTCTCACATATCTGAAAGATCTTCTATGAAAGTTGATATTTGGTACATTTTCTATTGTCATCCTTAAACCAACTGATTCTGAATCAAGGAAGAAAAAAAATTATGCCATTCAATTTTAAAAAGATCATCTAAACAAGTAGAAAAATATGTTACTTATGATTTCAGTGAGTAAAATTATTATAATTCATTATGTAAGTTTTAAGAGAACTGTCAAGATGAAACTATTATGTTGTCTTCTTGCCATTTCATGGTTAATATGTTCATTACTGCTATATTTAGAAAACTTATTTTAATTAGCACTCTGGAAGTTTCCATTATGCCTTACAGAAGGACACACCTTTTGTTTTGTTTTGTATAGTGTGCATGCAACACTGGAAAGGGAGATAGAGAGGGAAAGTGAGAAATCGCCCCTGGAGGGATGGCTATGCCACAACCCTTTCCCCTTCATTCGCCTCTCAGGACATTGGGCAAGTCCACACACATCCACCTGGCATATTTTTCAAGAAGCTGGGTCTGGGATTCAAATCTTGTAGTCAGTGATGTGGGAACTAGTCAACTTAATCTCCATGCCACCAGCTGGCCTAAAAAGACACATCTAAAAACATTTTTTAACAAGAATATCACCTAGGGTAAAATAATGGAAAAAGCAGGTGTCATGTGTTTTAGATATTTTTCCTAAGATCATTATCATTTCCAAAGCAAAGATGTATATTTTTTGGGTACTGTAGTGAATATAGATCATTTTCACCTAAAATAAGTCTATATTATTTACAATAAAATAATCTCACCACATTTTAAATTCTGATAAGATTCATAGGAACTTTCTCTCAGAAATAAGAAAGCAGCATTAATTACCACCATCATATAGTGATTCTCTTCACATGGGTGGGTTTGGCTTTCGCCTGACCACCCTGTTTTCATCCAGAGCTTTAGCCACTTTATAAACAAGAACGGCCGGGAATAAAATTATCTTCAGAACAACACAAAAGATACAGAAAACTTAGAGATTTGTATTCTCCACTTGTTAGATCCATCTTCCATTAACTAACTGAATGACCACCCAAATTAAAGGGCTATGCAGCTTATTACCCTAAATAAGACACAAAGAGTATTAGCCACATAGATCTAGGTCCATTGTCTCATAAAACACAGTGATACTCTAATAACTTGGTTGTCATCAAATGATCAACCTTATTAAAAGATGGGAGAATGAGTTTAAAAAACCACTCTCTAAGGATGACATACAAATAGCCAAAAGGCTTATAAAAAAATGCTCAACATCCCTCATTGTAAGGGAAATGCAGTTCAAAACAGCAATGAGATACCACCTAACCCCAGTCAGAATGACTAAGATTGAAAAAACAAAAAATGATAAGTGCTGGCAGGGATGTGGTGAAAGGGGAACTCTCTTACACCGCTGGTGGGAATGTAAATTGGTCCAACCACTGTGGAGAACAATTTGTAGATTCCTCAAAAATCTACAACTAGAACTACCATATGATCCAGCAATCTCATTCCTTGGTATATACCCAAAGGACAGAAGAATCCTTAATCGGAACAGTGCTTGCACATAGATGTTTGATACGGCACTATTCACAATTGCTTAACATGGAACCAACCCAAATGTCCATGAACAGATGAATGGATTGAAAAACTGTGGCACATATACTCTATGGAATACTATTCAGCCATAAAAAAAAAATCCTGGCTTTTGACAGAAAGCGGAAGAATATGGAAGATTTACTGCTGAGTGAAGCAAGCCAGGCTACAAAGAAGAGACATTGTATGTCCCCACTAAATATATAACAAGTGTCTGCACTCTATGACTGAAACTGATTGACTAAAGAATATAGAAACACAGTAAATGGATGTGAATACCAGATATAGTGTGCGTGAAGGAGTAGAGTCTGAGGAAGGACATTTAGAAGAAAAATAGAGAGGCAAAGCACTAATGGGACAAGGAAATGTGGTATTATCTGTTGAAGATAATTTTATACTTTTATCAACTAGACT